ATAACATTCTGTTTGGAGAACCGTTTGACTATAAAAGGTATTACACTTCACGTTGATATATTAGGAGTAGTAATGATAGTACAATCGATATGGCAATCATATGAATGATTTAAATGATGTAGTTTGAATCTAATTGTATGTATGCAATCCCTCATTAGATATCAGCAAATATTGGACGTTTGTTCACTTCAGCCAGACATAGATATTCTGATGGCCGGTGATAACACTGAGATTGGAGAGAAGGGCATAAATCTAAGTGGAGGTCAGAAACAACGAATAAGTGTAGCACGAGCCTTGTATAGCCGAACAGACATAGTCATATTGGTATGTATTAATATTGATATAATATAACGTTCGTATCACTTGTATGTAGCACAGACTGATGACGTTAAATGCTAATTTCCAAATTGTGTGAAACCTTATACATCTCTTTCCTTCCAAGTGAGTATTGCAATGATATCTTTCAGTCTAATTTCACGCTCTTGTACTTTCAATAAGCTAATCAGCGTTGTAGTATGACGTTGTATAATGAAATGTTATATTGGAATCTAATATCAATAGTATATTGTTAACAAGCCCATATACTGATGTGAAATAAATACAATTTTACCCTTGTTCAGGTCAAATGTACTTGAAAAAGTATCTAATATTAAGGTGGTAAGAGACGACGCCGCAGTTTTTAAAAAATATAACTGAGTTGAATAATCGTATTTGTCATTGCAATCAACCGGTTAGTGTACAAGTAACATTGTGTAACTTAAAGGCATCTGTTATCGTCCCAGGATGATCCACTAGCCTCCCTAGACGTTCATGTCGGTGCCCATCTCATGGAAAACGGAATAGTTGAGTTTTTGATGGAAGAAGAGCGAACAGTAATTGTCGTGACACATCATTTACAGTATTTATGTCACGCTGATCAGGTAATTATAACTTTGATATGGTGTCCCCATGATGCATTGCAATCCCTTAAGGAAATAAAAGTCAAATGGTGTATACAGTAGGTCTATCCAGACAGCAGCATGCATAAGTAAACAGTTGAATATATACAGCAATATATCTTGATAACGAAAGCTGTTGCAGAATCTCACTTGTGTGGTTATTTGAAAAATAAAACAGGTTGTCGTCATGGATGATTGCACTGTTGCTCGTCAAGGTGATTTAAAGGAAATTCAAAAGCACAGTCCAGAACTATACAGCGACTGGCAAAAGTCTATCACTGTCATCACAGAATCTGATGATAGTCAGTCAGAAGGGGAAGATGTGAACACGGAGCGTAAACATTTACTTGACGTCGTAAAACAACTGTCCAATCAAAGTGTTGATGGTATTCAGGAAGATGGTAAGATGTGTGTGTCGTGTGCAATGTGCCATTGTCTGTCTAATATAATGTATTAACATTTTGTGGACATATTTCTGCTATGAATAATAATACGTCTTTTTAATTTACACGAATTAGTTATCACTCATATATACATTTCCAGGAACTTATAAGGCCTTGATATTATATATCCAAATACGTATATGAATATCAACCTTAGTATTCCTTATCAGACATGTGAATCTCGGGCATTTTCTTCAAGTCATGATAACATATTGTGTTTACATTAGTGTTACACATTCCCA